GGCTTCATGGTGCTAGCGGTTTCCCTACTCTGTCACCAGGCCCATTAAATGAAAACCGTTTGTTAGACCAGAGGTCCCAATCTTCTTTCACTTGCTATAAGAAAATGTGATGTCGCTTTGCTTACTGCTTCACCAAATAAGTATACCCTCCAGGTTTATGTTCGAGTTAGACCCTTGCTTAAGCTTTATCAGTGTTCATAGTGGCTCCATCTGGGATGTGGCCACTATCTGAGAACACAACCAGCAGGTGGCATGTATCTCAAGGTCAGATGGAAACCGGCTTATGGATGTTCTTAACAGTGGTACCCCTAAGGGTAATAAAAGGCCAGTGCAAGAAACTGCTGCAAAAATGTTCAATAAATACCTAATAGAACAAACTGACTATATTTTATATTTTCTATATAAGTATACCTACGGTTTATATTTTATATGGTAACATATAAATAAATACTAATCATGATAACTTGCACTGAATGTGCAAAATAAAATGCATTCCTAAATCAGCTAAAAGAGGTAATACTAAAGACCAATCTTCAGAGCCAAGAAAATAACATCAGTAATTTCATATCAAAATTTGAATGCTGATGGCCGGGCTTGGTGGCTCACGCCTGTAATTCCAGCACTTTGGGAGGCCAAGGCGGGCAGATCCCTGAGGTCAGGCATTCAAGACCAGCCTGGACAACATGATGAAACCCCGTCTCTACTAAAAATATTACAATTAGCTGAGTGTGGTGGCAGGAACCTGTAATCCCAACTACTCAGGAGGCTGAGGCAGGAGAATCACTTGAACCTGGGAGGAGGAGGTTGCAGTGAGCCAATATTACGCCACTGCACTCCAGCCTGGGCAACAGAGAGAGACTCCATCCCAAAAGATAAAAAATAGAAAATAAAAGATTGAATGCTGAGGCATTCTGAGGTATTATTAAACCTTTTTCCTACGGCTCCGGCCTTGTCTCCAAAATTCTAGAGCCAGGCTTACAGGATGTACTATCAACATCTGAATCGGAGCTTGCCCAACAGAGATATCTTTTCAGGTTTTGCTTTTCTCATTCCATGGTTTATATCTGACCACAGCAACAGGTGTATGGAAAAGGAAACACGATCCCTAAGGGGAAAGGCCACTTCCTCCTTCTGTCTTACGCTTTGGCATGATGGGCCGTGTGACTACAGGCCTCCTGGCATGTGCACACGGGCGGCCCAGCCCAGCTGTCCTGAAACTTGGCTGCACGTAGCTATTTGGCAGGTGTTTGGCCCAGTGTTTTGCTAAGGCCCAGCCTGGACTAGCCATTAGCAGGAAAATCCAACAACAGTATTCCCAAGCACACTGGGCAGTATCCTGGCACATGCTATGGGCTGGATAAACAGTGGATCACGGTGCCCTAGTGCCCTCCTCTATTTCACAGGCTAGAGTGGGACATAAATGTCTAGTAGGCTCAAAACAAACATAACTTATAAAATGTTTATCTGTAAAAAGAACAACAGACAAAAATCTAACTTGAACTGGAAAGGTCTAGGAGGGCTTTTCTGAAAAACTAACACTGATCTTGAGCCCTGAAAGACAGAACCAATGAGGCATGGAATATGGGGAAGGGAATTCCAGGTAGGGGAAAACAGTATCTGCAAAGGACTGAGGTTGGGGGAGGATGAATCTTTTAACAAATAGAAAGATAGAAAGGAAGGTGACTGTGAGAGTGCTGTGAAGAATGGGAGGGTGGTGACAGAAAGGCTGGTGACAGATCACACTAGGAATTTGGATGCATAATCAAGCACAGTGTGATACAAACCACAGTAATATGGTCTAATTTCTTCTTTTTAATCACATTGGCTGCTGTGAAGAGAATGGATTGAAGGAAAGCAAGTGGAAGTGGACTAAATAAGAGATTTTCATAATAGAGAAGAGAATGCTGTTAGTGGACATGCAGAGATGTTGAAGTAATTGAGAAATAAGTTGGTAATCAACTGAATGTAGGGATGATAAGGAAAGACGTGTCAAGATCAATTTCCAGGTTTCTGTTGAATATACAGGTGAATAGAGATGCAATTTCCTGGTTGGAAAAACTGGAGGATCGAGGGTGGAGGGTGGAAGGCAAGGGAAAAGATAAGATCAAGAGTTCAGTTATGGGTGTGTTCAATTGGAAATACCCATGAAATATCCAAGTAGGGATGTCAGGTAGGCACAGGATATGAGTCAGAGTTCCAAAAAGGGGTTATGAACTAGAGAAATCCCTACAATAGTCACCAGCATACGCAAGTTATTTGAAGCCATAGCTATAGAAGGACATGAGGGTACAAGAGAACTGAGTTCAGATCAGAGATAAAGAGTGAGAAAGAGGTAAAGGGAAATGGATGGAAAACCAGAAGACTGTGGTATAGAGAGGCAAAGAAAAGGGAGACAGTGAAGAAGTGCCAAGAAAAAGAGCTGTCCCCTGCACTGAATGCCGCTCAGGAGTCTGATCATGAGGGGACTGAAAAGCACCCAGCAGGCTGGGCAGCACTGAGGTCTTTAGTAGTCTTAACAGGAGAAAATCAGATGCAGGAGTAGAGGTCTAAGCCAACTGGAGTGGGAAGAATGTTCAATTGGAAAATGAAGAAAAGGAGACACAGCATAGCCAGAAAATTGTTTAATAAGTTTAGCTATGATTAAGAGGAAAGAGATAAGGTAGTAGCTTATTGTTAATGAATCAAGTAGTAATTTATTTTTAAAATAATAATATTGGCCTGCTGACAGTAAAGAGGGAGAAACTGCCCCCAGGGGGTGAGGGTACAGAAACACTCAAGACCTCAAGAAGGTGGGATGGGATGACAACCAGAGCACATCCAAAGGGACTGGTCTTTGATGGAAGGAGGGAGCCCCCGTTCATTGTGAGAAGATGAGATGCTTCTGATTTCTCTGTGGAGCAGGTGGTAAGATGATCTCTGAGCCAGAGGGACGAAAGCGGGCCAGGGGTATGAACAGAGTGTATGAAATAGCTGTGTCATTAAATGGTGGAATACATTTATTTGAGAAACATAATAATGTTTTTGCCAAGCTGTGTTGAGTCTCTATTTGAGTTTAGTTGTCAAGAATATGTAGTAACATCATTTAGACCAGTCTTTGTTTCCACTTCCCACATCCTCTTTTGGAGTTCCTCACCCTAAGCCAGTTTCTGCCATTTTTCACATGATGTAATGACAGACAATAATCCTACCTTCTAAGACCAACTAATTCCCTCACAGCTGTATGAGCTGGTCCTATGCATCAAGCCCCTGTAGTCCGCTCTCTGGTGCACAGCCTCTGTCAAGTCATCAAAACAATATTAGGAAGGATGGAGGCAGCTTCCTTGCTTGTTTCTGACCATGTTTGTAGAATTCCACCTGAGAATTCCCCCTTGAGAATATAACATAACTTTCCCTGGGAAGTGAGATTTAACATTGGCTCAATTTGCTTCACTTTGTGTAGAATCTGATACTAATGAGAAATACACAAATAGAATCTGTAGGCCATGCCATATGTGAGACACACAAAATAAATAACTACATGGATTAGGATGGCAGGAGGGTTCACAGGGAACATGATACCCAATTCCTATGTTGCATGAGTTTTCCAATATGACATAAATAGCAATAAAACTACTCTACTATTAATTTAATTAGTATTTACTTGACAGCAAAACATTAACACAAGACATGTGACATCTCCGATGAAGGCTTCTTGCAGAATCTTTGAAAAGCATAGCCATTAACTGAATCCTTCAGTACTGCAGACTTAAGACGGTCAAATCTTTGACTTCATTTTGGCCTTTTAAGAAAAATACACCCACTACCCGAATACTACTTAAAAGTCTAGGGACAGAAAGAACATCCATAAAATTTAATATGAAAAGGCTGTGCAGTTTAATTCTGACATGCTGACAACCAAGCATTAATGTGTAGGATTTAATTTGACTTTTATTTCTGACCATCGCTTTGAGCTCATTCTCTGGCATCAAGATCAAATGCCATTATTTATAGGTCTTAAACAAATAAGAGCCTAAAAAGGAAGTCACGTTCAGCAGAAATACTTTCTACACATTACCACCAGAACTTACTCAAACTAAAAAATTTTTCTTTTTCTCAGTTTAGTGGAGAACATGTTGAGTCAGGAAGAATGTGTTAAAGCTTATTTGCTTTTTCCTTCTCAAATTGGAATTTTATTTTTAGTTTTATTAGAATTTTATTTTTAGTTCAGCTCTAACTCACTCAGAATGGGAGAGGAAAGTAATGTGTATTTCCCAGAGGAAAAAAACACATAAACAGACAAACCAAAAACCCAACTACCATCCTGAATTCTAAAATCTGCAAGTGATTTTTCATACTTTCCCTAATAGATATCAGCCACCATTCAGGTTGTGATCCAAAATGTATACACAGGACCTCTTCCAAGATAAGTGCCAACTGTGCTTCACAGATAGCTTTCTCTGGCAGTGTGTGAGACTATCCCCAGAAGAAAATTTTAGAAATTCCAATACATTTGTCAACAAGCAGTGCACTTGCATTGAAAACAATAGCAAGGCAAAGCAGGTGAGATGGATGATTCTCATTCATCTGTTTAATACACAGAAAAATGAAAAGAAATGAGGCAACCCTATTTGAATTTGCTTGAGCCATCCCTACAGGGCAGCAGTGGTAAAGAACTTCAGTATACTAAAAAAATTACTTAAAAAACACAATGGAATCAGAAAAGCAGAAAGGCCAACGAAAAAAGCAAACAAACAACTCACTCATCTCAAGTAGGATAAAGCTGCCAGGAATGTCGGCTCACAAATTATATGAGCTCTGCTTTCTCAGCATCAGCTGCCCAGTACCTGGCAGTTCTTAGTTTCTGACAATGTAAGATCTTAGGATTTTTCTCTAGTGCCACTGTCTCCAGGAACATGACACACAAATCCAAAACCACAGTAACCCATTCAACATTTAAATTCAATCAATTGGGACCACCACCTTGCCCATAAAAATTGCATCAGAATATAGTTTTCTTTTACCTTGGTCTTTTCACCAACAATGTTCTTTTCCAGTTCAGCTATTTTCCGGTTTAGATGATCCAAAATCTCCTTCTCCTTCATAAGTTCAGTTGTTTCAGATTTCTGTTCTCCATCCAAAAGAGCACATTCCATATCCAACTAAGGACACAAACCAAAGCTCAGAAGTGTTTCACCTTTGGGGATATTCTCAACTGACCACCCTAGAGATACATTTGCAACAGCTACAAATTTGTAAAAGTAATACTGTAGCAGCCAGATCGGGTGCCTGGGAACACTCCAGAGAGCCCATGTGAAATCAGGATTCCCATATAAGAAAGCTAGAGAGCCTAGAATATATTCACTAAAAGAACTAGTTATCTTATCACTTAACTTTTCTACTATAATCCCTCTTCGGCTCACTTCTCAAGGATATTTTGCCTATTTGCTTCGGATCAAGATCAAGCACAAACCACCATGGGAGCAGCCACGTCTTTTTTTCTTTGTCCCTAGAGCATGGGAAGAGAAAGTTACCCGAGCCCAGCATGTGAGCTCTGCATTCCTCGCAATGCCAGCAGGAGGGGCTTCCAGCATCTCCACGCAAGACAACAGGTGAGCAGTCCCCTAACCACTTAAGGGCCTACTGGTATCATCTGTAAGGACAGACACACAGATCTTCCCTAGGCAGAATTACGTGCCCCTTCTCATGCCATGGGGGTAACATAAAAATTGCCACTGTCTTCTATTATGGTTATGCAATGTGTGTCTGTCTGCTCCCCGCTGGTTTCCAAACCTCTAGAAACCTGGATCTATTTTTGATCCGTGTGTGAATTTCATCATGGTGCCAATGTGATATCCAACTCACAGTAAAGCATGTTCAGAAAACATTTGCTGCATTTGACCTTGAAATGTAAATACAGGGCACCTCAGCTGACAGATCCTCTGTTAGGTCAGAAAGCACATACTAGTTAAGACAAAGTTGGTTGAAGATTCATAAAGTACATTAAAGAGGGCTTAATATGTTTATCTCATCTGGTTGGAAAAAAAAAAAAAACAGAAAAAAAGGAATGTAGAAAAAGGGTATTTTTACTCTAAACAGGGAACCCACTGAATAAATGGGTTTGCTTATGTTGATGTCTATGTATCTGGACTCCAAAGCCTGTGCATGAATGAGCAGCAATATTTTTAGGCTAAAGGAAAGCAAGAAAAAAGGGAAGAGGGTAAAAAAGTTTACCTCTCTGTAAGATTCATCCATCTGATCATTTATGTCTTTGATTTTTTGTTTAAGTTCCTCGAGGTTGTTCAGAATGACCATCCGGGTTTCTTCCATCGCAGCCAACTCCTGAGATCTCTGTTCTTCACTTATACCCTCTGGGGTCTGCGATTAATCAATACAGAAATGGATTATTCACACTTCAGTTCTAGAATTTCCTAACTTGACTTGTAAACCATCCACAGGTCTAGTGTTTCACAGTCTCCATGCCTGTGTAGATTTTAAAAGCATCCCTGAAATTGCACGCTTAGAGCTCTGATGTGTTTTTCCCACATTATGCCATCCTCAGCAGTTAGGCTCTCAGGGGAGTTCAGACAAACCAATTTCAATTCATCAGTGCATATCCTTTTGAAGCTAAAAGAACTAAGAGATTACACAGATAAGAAAGGTGTGGTACACAGAGATTGAGATGACTTTTCCAAAGTTATAGAGAAAGTTCAGCGTAACAGAGAACTAGAACTGACAGAAGACTTGTGGCATCTTCCTCTGGGATCCCTTGGGCATGATGCTGTGGTCATTACAAGCACAATATTCTCTCCCATCTTCCAGGGGAGGACATCTCCTACAAAAGCCTCTTGAATCTCTAGACATACTGTTCGGTCTCGCTGCTAGGGTTATCTGCAAATGAGCATTCAGGCTTCTGTATTTCCTTTTCAACACAAGTTAGAAAAGCAAGGGCACATTACTTTGGGGAGCCATAAAATGACTTAAAACTACACACTCAGTATTAAATTAATTGATGCTTCGTTTTGGTGTTAGTGCACAATTTCCTCTCTTTGTCCTATAGACCTTCTTGCTATATAGCATGTAAGACAATCCCTAAAACAGGACACTGGCCACCATTCGTAAAATAATTTCATGGAAAAACTGGTTCATCGGCAAGAAATAAGAAAGTCAAGAAACAAATTAAGTGAGAGAGTGCATAGTTACACTCCTGAATGGAGCGATGACAGATGCCCAGGGAAGAGGGCAATATTGTAGATCACACACACAGTCAAAATGTGACTGTTTATTGTTCAAGAAGAGAATGGAGTGAATTACAAATAGCCTCTTCTTTCTAGAATTTCAGGTTAGTTATCTTGGATATCACCTGGTAGAGACCAATCGTTCTATATATACTATATGTTAGTATGTTAGTATGAAAATATTATTTATTTAAATTATTCCTTTTTGAAAAAGTAGTTTTTTTGGATCAGCAAGTCAATAATTATACAGTTTCACAATGAAAATGGAAAAAAGCAGCCCAGTTGAGTAAATTACTGAATATTTGTCACTAATTGTTAAAAAAAAACTTCGAATTAACCCTCCAAGAAAACCCATTAACTTTAGTATACTTCACTAGGTTCACTTAATTTATTTGACAATTCTGATAATACATTTAAGAAGCCATCCATCATGTCATATTCTGTACTCTATTCATATTTATATTTTTTACTCTACTTTGTAGCTTTTTAAAGTGATTCAACGATTCAGCATTTAGTACCTCAGGTTTGTTAGGACGAAGCTAAGCAGCTCTTCCAAGCTTTGACATTTAGCCCTTTAATTGTCATCTTACATGCAATATATCTTATCAACTAATAAAACAACTGTTGACCTTTTTATCACAGACAATAAAGCTCATTGTCCTAATACTAAGGTGCCTGTTTTAAGCCGTGAGGAACGCCTGCAACAGTGAAATGGCATTCCAGAATCACTGTGAGTAATCCTGGCAGGAAAGCCTCACCAAGGGCAGTATCCTGTTGGGTCAAGATTACATATTAGGTTTCTACTTCCAACATGGCTTAAAGATACCTCTCTCACAGGTGGACGCAAGGCATTAAGAAAAACACACAACAACAGAACAATCTGCAAAACTCTAAACTTTATAAGCATGTAGGGGGTAAAGATGGTTAATAGTGGGAATCACCTGCATAATTCAAAGTTTTTAGAAAGTTTATCACAATAGATATGTTTAATAATAGGCAACTTAAGAGTCTGTTTAGAGCAATAAATGCCATCTAGGAAACGTTTGTGTTTTTTTTTTCTAAGTTATTTATAAGAAGCAAAATCTCCAGGAAGTATTCTAAAACCAAACGCTTTATGATAGAATGGGGGTGAGGACAATGTAATCTCATTTATTCACCAAAGAAAACCAATAGAAAGCCAAGGTGTGGTAGCCACTGAGTAGCTTTCAGTTTTACAGTGACAGAGAACATTGTAATTTTAAACATATGCCCTTCATTTTAATTTCTCTGGGAATTTTTTTTTCCAGTAATGGACAGGAATCTAACAGTGACGTGTTTTAATAAGCACATTACACGTGTATGTGCATCCTCTAATATGTTATCTTTGGGGAAACTTGATCCACACAGGAAAGAGGAGAGATGTTAGGGGAAACGACACTTTCTGCTTGCCCCTTTTTCACAGATTTCTTCTTAAAACCCTTTTGCAGCCAAAGGAGAGAGGGGTGCAAAGGACTCAAAAGCAGAAAGATGAGCCACTTTCCAGACAACTTTTACCTCAAGAGGTGGTTCACAGAGGCCAACTAAAATTAGCATATTTCCAAAGTCATCAGCATCTGTAAGTGTTACATAAAGCAAGTTCTTGATCGGTAACTCTCAGGTTTCCTATATATCATTAAGATTGTTTTGTAAAGTTAAGTCAACTTACAGTGTTTTTCACACTCCTCTCTTCTCCATTTACCCCTAAATCGATTATTAACATTGTACTTTGTTAGGCAAATACTCCAGTGTGGAAATTAATTGAAGAGAAAGAGCATGCGAAACAAATAGGAGGTTTTTTTTTTTTTTTTTAAAGAATTTCCTATCTGCTGTCTCAAGTTAATATCTAACTTCAGAAAGTCATAAGTAAAAAAAGTGTTTCTTGGAACCCATCAGCCTCCCTCACTTGTACTCTTTCTACGCTGCTGTGTGGTAACCTGGGTGTCCTTGATGTTTCCTGCCTCTAAAGGATGCAGAGTCTTACCTCTCTTGCAACAACAGATGCTGCACTAAGCTTCAGAGGCCTCCTATTCCACAATTACATGCTTGAGCAATTAAAAACATCTGCCAAGATCTGCTCATGTACACACCAACAGCATTCTTGTCATAGCCCTCTCCAGGAGGAAACCTGTCTTCCAAAAGATAGTCTTTAGAGAGAGCACGCAGCTTAATGTTCTTAACAAAAAACTCGCAGATCTCCATAAAGGAAAAGCTGTGAAAAGATTTAAAATCAAAAGGAAGCCAAGGGTTTCTAAAGAAGCCCAATGGCTGATGAGGACAGCTCAAGTGATGGGTCATTTACTGTGCCTGAACAGCAACAACTTTTGATTCCTCCCTGCCCCAATTTTCTTCCCTATCCTGGTTTCTAACCAGGAATGTTCAGAATTACTCTCCATTGAGAATTAGTAAGGTAAACACGGTCACTAGCAAAAAGAAGGGATGGGTAGGGCTCAGTGGCTCACCCTTGTCATCCCAGCACTTTGGGAGGCCGAGGCAGGTGGATCACTTGAGGTCAGGAGTTCGAGACAGGCCTAGCCAACATGGTGAAACCTCGTCTCTACTAAAAAATACAAAAATTAGCCAGGCATGGTGACGTGCGCCTGTAGTCCCAGCTACTCGGGAGGCTGAGGCAGGAGAATCGCTTGAACTGGGAGGCAGAGGTTGCAGTGAGCCTCGATCGCACCATTGCACTCCAGGCTGGGTGACAGAGCAAGACTCTGTCTCAAAAAAAAAAAGAAAGAAAAAAGAAGGGATTGTTCTCCAACATGTATTCAACAGTCCAAAGTCCTGATGTGTATAATGGAAAAACTCATTACGTAGATAAGGATTTCTGACTAGGAACATTCAGTGTAAAAGTCTTGCTGTAGCTAAACAAACACACAAACTCCCCTGAATAATGTCCATGTGATAAATTACTGCCAGGATTTAGTACCATGACAGTATCTTTCTCTTCAACAGTCAATGTGTCCTGCTCTTATAACAAAAGATTAACTAAAGAATCTCACAGTTGAACTTAATAGTAACTGTGAATTAAGCAAATCAATGCATTAATCCTACTTATTCCTAAATAAGAAAATCCACCTCGTGAATACGGTATCTGCTTTTTCCTATTTACTATTTTTGTTATTCTAATTTTAGTCTAATAAAATTTTCATTTTATTGTAAGCTCTTTCTTTGTAAGCTCCTTCAAATCATTATTAAAAGTGGAGAAATTTAAAACCTAAACTGTTGTAGAAAAAAATTCTTAACCTGTGTGAAAAAAATGTAATAACAAAAGATTTTGGGGTTCTGAGTCCTGTAGAAAAAGAAAAAAACATTTAAAAAGATTTTTCCTTAAACTCCATTTAATAAATCCTCAAAGGACAACTTTTTTTTTTTTTTTTTTTTTTTTGAGACGGAGTCTCGCTCTGTCGCCCAGGCTGGAGTGCAGTGGCGCAATCTTGGCTCACTGCAAGCTCCGCCTCCCGGGTACCCGCCATTCTCCTGCCTCAGCCTCCCGAGTAGCTGGGACTACAGGCTCCCGCGACCATGCCCGGGGAATTTTTTGTATTTTTAGTGGAGACGGGGTTTCACCGTGTTAGCCAGGATGGTCTTGATCTCCTGACCTCATAATCCGCTCGCCTTGGCCTCCCAAAGTGCTGGGATTATAGGCATGAGCCACGGCGCCCGACCAATGACAACATTTTTAAACCAACATACACAACCAGAAGACTAGTACTTATGTGTACAAATAAATCTTTTATGTCCAAAAAATATAAATAAAGTCAAAATAAAGACTACTTATGATAAAAGGCTAATCTGCTTACCACAAACAGCTCTTACTACTCAGTAAAATACAAGACAAATAAAACAATTTAAAAAATGGGTGAAGAACATGAATAAGTGGGTCAAATTACAAATAATAACTAAAAATATGAAAAGATCCCCAACTTGATGCATAATTAAAGAAAAGCAAATTAAACTTCTATCAATTTGGCTAATTGAAAAATTTTGACAATATGCAACCTTGGCAAGTGTATGGAGAACAAGGTGTGCATATAAACTTAGTCATAAGTGTCACCTGGATATATAGGCTCTTTTTTTTAATATGGTCTTTTGGAAGTACAGTTGGGAAATATTGAGTAAAATGGAAAATACACAAACTCTTTGACCCAGCAATTCCACTTTTAGTAAGTGATCCCACAGACACATTTGCAGAATTGTGCAAATATATATATGCGACAATATTTGCTGCATATGGATTTTATTAGCAAGAAAACCTGAAAATAAATGGTAGTTGCAAACAAAAGAAAAGCAATTGGTCATTAAAAAGAATGAGGTAGAGCTGTGTATACTAATATGGAAAGATGCCCAAGGCATTTAGTGAGGGAAGAAAAGTACAGAACACTATGTATGTGTGTCTGTCTGTCTATGCCTATAACAGCCATATATACACAGAAAATATTAGGAAGGCAGGTAAGATGATTTTAGCACCAGTTTTACACCTGCTTATTACTCAGGTGCGCAACTGAAAGGGTGCAGGGACAAGAGAAATGTTCTTTCTTTCTACTTTCTGTGCTGCTACATTTTTTTACAGTGCAAATGTGTTACTTTACAGTAAACACCCTAATTTGCTGCACCTTGCTCAGCTAATGACCTCTTAAATTGAAACTTTACTGAAAACATCCTGGATAATCAGCCTGATAAAATCACCAGTTTCCATGTCAAAGCATATGTACAGCCCTAGGCCTTAAATCTTAATGTCTTTGCTGGGCCAACATTACCTTTGGTAGGATACTTAGATAAGAGGATTCGCTGGAAGCTTTCGGAAAGGTGGAGGATGGTGGTGGCGGAGTCCGGGTGAGGTCGCTGAGTAGTAGTTCATCATTCCTGGTGCTCCTGGGGGTAAAGAAGCTGGCACTGCTCTGAGTGAGACTCCCACAGCTTGCCAAGTCTGCATCAGGGAGAGAGTCTTTCCGGTGGCACCTGTATCTTGTGTCAGGGCTCAGGAGGGCTTCTTCAAACACCGACTCCTCATCAGAGAGCTGCAGCTTCTCAAGCTCCTTGTTGATTTTCTGCACATCTGCCACAGTGGTCCCAGTAGATAAGCGACTGTCAGGCTTTGTGTATTCAGCACAGAGACTGAGGATGGTTTCCAGACGCTGTCTCTCCTAGAACACAGAGAGGAGGGGGAGGTCAGGGGGTTTGTGAGAATGACCACAACTCCAAATAAAAAGACTGAAGAGGCTGGGACAACTGGTGCTTGCATTCCTTACATAAACCCACAAACACTTGGCTGGTGATGATTTTCATAATCTTTGACTGATGCATTTAAAGATCCAGGTGAAATGGGGTTTAACAATGCCCAACTTTCCTGCCAAACTCAATTCTGGCTTCTACTCTCTCCCCTTTATTGGTATATCACAGGCTGGCCCTAGCACCCATCAGCACTCAGTAAGCGTTTTCATGACTTATCAATTCCCCCAGGTTTCTGAAGGGTGAGGTTAGGGAGAAAGACAAGGTCTTACCCTGTCCCAAAGGCTGGAGTTCAGTGGCACAATCATAGCTCACTTTAACTCCTGGACTCAAGTGATCCTCCTGCCTCAGCCTCCCAAAAGTCACTGAGATTACAGGCACGTGCCATTGCACCAAACTCATTTTTTTTTTTTAAATCTCCATTTCCTGTCTATCCTCCTTCCCACCCTCTACTTATCTACCTTCAACAATATCTAGCTTTTTCATCACTACTGACTTAATATTTGTGCTTAAAATTAATTCTCTAACTTCCTAAATATTATCCTACTGTTAGACTGTGTGCTAGACCCACAAAGACAAAAACAGCTACTTACTGAATCTTTTAATTTAAAAGACTTATCTATGTCTTCAATTTTTTTTCTTGAAAATTTTCAAAACTTTTTAATGCCTGGTCACCATATAATGGTCTTTCTCTACTAATTTCTTATATAATTAAAATTGTAAAAAAGATAGAATGTTGCACTAAAATGAAGAACATTTCACATTAAGTCCAGATAGACCCGGATGTAACTCAAATTCAGAGGTCATTAAATCTTTGATTAATTTAGCTAGAAAATAAAATTTGTTTTTTAAAAATAAATACATAGGCCATTGATGTCTATAACATTACTACACTCTTACCAGACTCCCCATGCAACAGATAGATATTTATGATTTTGAACTTTAAGTTAATTATATAGTTTGTGAGCAACAGGATATAATTTACGGAATGCTTCTCTGCTTCTCATAAACCTAGACAGCATTGCTTAAGGTAGGAAATCTCAACATCTTTACCTTTCACGTTAATTCCAAGGCCAAAGTGAAAAAAGAACTAAAAACAAAAACCATCTGTTGTGATCACATTTACCACACTGAGAAGAGGCTTCACACGTTCTCCATAGAAAAACATTTTCCAAACTGCTTATCAGCAATAAAGCAGAAAAATATTAAGCGTCACTGGACTGCTGTTCTCATTTCAATTGCAGCTAATTTGTAAAGACAAACTTTATAAGACAATTAGCTCTTTATTAGTTGATGCTATTAACAAGTAGAAAAGTCAAATAGAACAGACCAACATAACTCCTTAGGTTCCATTAAATACATTACTTAAATGACAAGACAGATATTTAAGGTGTATCTGACTTACATTTGCCCTTTAAAGTAATCCCCCAACAAAAAAATAAAAGAGCAATAGCTTCATCAAAAGGACTAATAAACTAGTTCCTACAAGCTCGCACCTCCCTTTCACTGCCTGAACTTCTGGACTCCAGCTGCAGCTCCATCCTCATGGCCTCTTCCCACGGCAGGCACTCATAGCTACACACTCTCATCTTGGGCTCTTCTGCACCCTGTCCATCCAGGAGCCCTGGTACTTATTTATCTCTGCAGTTTCTACCAGCTGCCAAGCCCTGCCCACCTCAGCTTTATAGGGAGGAAGCGGGGGTGGGGTGGGGGGAACATAGCCTTCATTGCCTTATTTTAAACTTCTCCAACAATCTGGAAAAGTCTACAGGGGCATATGCAAAAACAACCTCCAAGAGCATACGTAAGGAGAGGGAGAGGGACAAGATGCTGCATTTTACTTCTCAATAGCGTCTATATTAGAGGCGAGTCTCTAAAGAAAAGTTCTTTTTCTGCCACTTAGGTAATTAAGTTGAAGCATCTAAACCCAGTCTTTCCTAATCTTTTTAGTATAACATGTATATATTAGCCTTGGCATAAACATTTGAGATTATCTGAAAGTTGTCCATTTCCAATTACCTGGGCACTAAGGTGTGGTGTTCAAAAGCATGAAAGATATTTCTGTCTGGCCTGGAATACATAGAAAAATTCATTCCTCCCACATGGCCTTCCCAAAATAGTTTCTTTTTCTGCCAGTGGTATTGCTTAATTCCAAAGGGAATAAATGATCCCAGCCTTAAGATGAATGCTATTTCAGACAGTGAAACGCAGTATTCAAAGGCTTGTGCACAGGAAGTTTGGTCTACTGGTATGTGTTTCTCTCTATTCTTATCACCCCATTCACAGCCAATCTGTCCAAGTTTGAATTACTGACACAGGCAGCATTGCTGCCCACAAGTTTAAAAGAAATCCAGGTTGCGCTGAGACACATTGGCCCTATACAAGCTGCACCAAAGAAAAATAAACTGATGTCCAAAGTGCGTCAGAAGAAAGTCTGTAAGGCATTACAAGAAGCCTTTAAAGGAAAACTCTGAACAGAAATTACTCTCATAGGATAATTCTCCCTTCAGCCTTCTGCACTCTGGAGTCTTCTTCCTTCCATCATGCCAATAGCCTCCAACCTGCATGACCCAAATCCAGAACGACCATTCCAGACCAGAACCTTTTAAGAATCAGAGGGCACTGTTAATAATTATGCTGGAACCTCAAATGCAAACTGGGATTGGTCCTGGCAAACTGTGATGTCCGTCTCCCCACTTAAAACCAAACTTTCTTTGAAGCTTCACCTAACAACCTGCAATTTAGTAAGTAGAGAGGCTGGCTGCCCTCTGAGATTTCCAAATCCTACCCACCTTTCCAAACCAGCAATCTACTGTTCATTCTCTTGAAAAGTCACAAGTACAGAGTCTACATACCTTAATGGTCCAAAATATCAGTGCTAAGAATTTAGAAAATAGGTCATCTTGAATCAAATTATTTTACATACATTTTTGTTTTTTTCGCCCTTCCCATTTCTCCTTTTCTTCATCTCTATCTCCCATATATATCAAAGGAAGTGTTGAAGGAGACACAAGATTTTAGACAGTATACCTGAAGAAAACTGTGTGCAGTTTTTCACTTAGAGGTTAAAGGGGGAAAAAAAGGTGATGGGCTAGGGGTAAGTTTTTTGACCTCTGAGCTTTTTTCCATCTTTAGAGGAATGTGTGTGACATTGTTCCCACTGCAGATTCACTGTCCTCAGGAGAGGGTACCATCCATCTCTTATACCCATCCAGGGCCCTTGTAACTAACACCAACTAGTCTAGGTCACAGGATGGTAGACATACTGCACAAATACATACATTATGCAGAAAACCAACCGCTGACACTTAAGCACAGGTGAAATCTTTGCTAAAAACCTTTTGTTATAACTAAGCATGTTGGGTCACGTATTACTTAAAACAAAAGGTCAACCTTTAATTTTTAGATATAATTTAGTTGAAATGGGATTTTTTTTAGGAGGACCTATTGTAACTGGTGTGACCATACGTTTATTGTGGCTCTATTCACAGTAGCAAAGACTTGGAACCAACCCAAATGTCCATCAATGATAGACTGGATTAAGAAAATGTGGCACATATACACCATGGAATACCATGCAGCCATAAAAAAGGATGAGTTCATGTCCTTTGTAGGGACATGGATGAAACTGGAAACCATCATTCTCAGCAAACTGTCGCAGAAAACCAAACACCGCATGTTCTCACTCATAGGTGGGAACTGAACAATGAGAACACTTGGACTCTGGAAGGGGAACATCACACACCGGTGTCTGTCGTGGGGTGGGGTAGGGGGAGGGATAGCATTAGGAGATATACCTAATGTAAATGACGAGTTAATGGGTGCAGCACACCAACATGGCACAAGTATACATATGTAACAAACCTGCATGCTGTGCACATGTACCCTAGAACTTAAAGTATAATAAAAAAAAAATACATTCAATAACTGGTGTGACTTGATTTCTCTCTTCTGTTAGCCCCAGGACTTCGATGTCTCCATAACCTTCAGTTCAACAAAGGTCTACTAACTTACTTATTGTCTAGTAGCATGCTGGGGATCCATAAATGAAAAAAGATGGCAAGATGAAAATTTTTTTCTTTTTTTTCCTGAGACAAAGTCTGTCGATGTCACCCAGGCTGGAGCACAGTGGTGCACTCATAGCTCACTGTAAGCCTCGACCTCCTGGACTCAAGGGATCTTCCCACCTCAGCCTCCAGAGTAGCTAGGACTCCAGGCATGCACCCTTGCCCAGCTAATTTTTTAATTTTTTGGAAGAAAGACGGCATCTTGCTATGTTGCACAGGCTGATCTCAAGCTCCTGGACTCAGGCAATCCTCCTCTCACCTTTGCCTCTCACATGACACACTGCACACAGCAAAACATAGCATTTCTACCCTCAGTTCTTTAACAGGAGGCACAAATAGGTGATCAGTTATAAAAGCAGTGATAACAGAAGTTTATAGACAACCTATGAGTTCAGATGGGGAAACAGTACACAAAAATTACAGAAAAACAAATTTGAGTCCTCAAGGATAAATATGAGTCTGTCTGGTCTACTGGGACACTGGGTTGGGCAGGGCATTTCCACAAAAGCATCACAGAAGCAAAGGCATAGAGCTGTGGCATATCATGGTATGCTCAGAGATAAACCACTAGTATGTGGCTAGAGAGATGGGGTCTTTTGGGGGAAGAGGGATGAGGTACCTGTACAGAAATGGGCCACATGTCTTCCTCTTAGGGATTACAACAGCCCTAAAGTAAGTTTTGGAAACAACAAGTCAGGAACCCTGGTCTAAAAGTGAGTGGCGGAATGAGAAAAGCTGGTGCTGACAGCAAGTATGCAGACTTTCCAGGATTCCATGTACAAACCCTGATGTTTCAATTAGGTAATGACAGAAAGGAGGGAAAACAGAAGCAATGGCTCAAAGTCGGT